AAGGGACTGGAGCATCTCTCCTATGAAGAAAGGCTGAGAGAGCTGGGACTGTTCAGCCTGGAGAAGGCTGAGGGGGGATGTGAACAATGCATCTAAATACCTGAAGGGAGGGTGTGAAAAGGATGGGGCCAGACTCTTATCAGTGGTGCCCAGTGACAAGACAAGAGGCAACGGGCAGAAACTGAAACACAGGAGGTTCCATCTGAACATGAGAAAAAACTTCTTTCCTGTGAGGGTGACAGAGCCCTGGAACAGGTTGCCCAGAGAGGTTTTGAAGTCTCCCTCCCTGGAGATACTCAAAAGCCATCTGAACACAATCCTGTGTACTCCTGTGATTCTGTAATGTACTCTAGGTGACCCTGCTTTAGCAGGGGGAGTTGGACTAGATGATCTCCAGAGGTCCCTTCCAACCTCAACCATTTCATGATTCTGTGAACCTGACAGCCTTCTACGATGAGATGAGTGGCTTGGTGAATGAGGGGAGAGAAGTGGATGTCATTGCTCGTGACTTTAGTAAGGTCTTCAACACTGTCTCCCATAACATCCTCATAGACACACTGATGAAATACAGACTAGACAAGTGGACAGTGAGGGGGACAGAAATGGTGCAACTGCTGAGCTCAAAGTGTTGTGATGAGGGGCACAAATTCCAGCTGGAGGCCAGTCCCTAGTGGTGTCTCTCAGGGGTCAATACTGGGGCCAATACTGTTTAACCTCTCTATTGATGACCTGAATGTTCGGACGGAGTGCACCCTCAGCAAGTTTGCTGATGATACCAAATTCGGAGGAGTGGCTGAGACACCAGAAGGCTGTGCTGCCATTCAGAGGGACCTGGACAGGCTGGAGAGCTGGGCGGAGAGGAACATCATGAAGTTCAACCATGGGAAGTGCAGGGTCCTGCACCTGGGGAGGAATAACCCCAGGCACCAGGACAGGCTGAGGGCTGACCTGCTGGAAAGCAGCTCTGCAGAGAAGGACCTGGGAGTCCTGGTAGACAACAAGTTAAGCATGAGCCAGCAATGTGCCCTTATGGCAAAGAAGGCCATCAGCATCCTGGGGTGCATTAGGCAGAGCATTGCCAGCAGGTCAAAGGAAGGCATCCTACCTCTCTACTCAGCCCTGGTGAGGCCACATCTAGAGTACTGTGTCCAGTTCTGGGTGGGTGGTTGAACACCAGACCAGATTGCCCAGAGTGGTTGTGGAGTCTCCATCCTTGGAGATATTCAAAATCTGACTGGACATGGTCCTGAGCAGCCTGCTGTAGTTGAGCCTGCTTTGAGCAAAGGGGTTGGACTAGATTATCTCCAGAGATCCCTTCCAACCTCAACTATTCTGGGATTATAACAAGAACCCTCTCATAGTTCAGTCTCCTTGTATCCTGGAACCCATATGGAAACATGTTAACAAGTAAGAGCCTATAATCAACACCACTATCAAGAATAATATAGACAGAATTACTATGCAATCAATGTTGAAGTACAATAAATAGTAGCATTGCACAATATCCCAAGGTGCAAGGTATTTTTATCTAAGCCTGTCCATTAAAATGAATATCAAAATCTCCCTTTCTGTGCATATCTATTTCAAATTTACATTGCAGTTCTCATAAAAATTAAATGGACTTGGTTACAAATATATTAAAGTTGCAAGATTATTTGTATCTACATATTAAGAAATTCCTGAAAGCAACCTTGGAAGATTTAAAAATTCATTTCTAATGCGGTACCAAGTGCCTAAGCTGTAAAAAAAAAAATCACTACCAGAAGCAAAGGATGCACTCTCTACTCTAGATCAAGTCCTTCTGTTTCATTTAAGAGGCAATAAACTCTCCCAATCTTCTGGAATATCACTGTGAATCCTCTTAAACAGATTCATATTCAGAAATTGTTTGTCAAAGAGTAAATTACTTCTTTCTATAGAAGTGTGCAAGATCTAAACTCTTAAGGAAATATAAAATAATCAGCAAATTTTGTCTGAATGCTACGAATAAGTCCTGCCTGAGGGCCCACATGGATTTAAAGAGAAGAGGTGGTCTTCCCTGACAAGTGGTGCTAAATGAAGAACAGGCACTGCCATAAACCAGAACAGACCCTCCCAACTAAGGATTGGTTTACAGAGCAGAACTGATAAAAAGCTTATGACAATAAATTTCAAGAATAGCTGGTTTGCTGTTTACTAAGATTGAGATTGTACAAGAAACCTAAGGAAGTTAGGCACCCAATTTTCATTAAAATTAAACAAAAAACTAAACACCCAATTCCTTTAGGCCCTTATAAAAGTCTCAATAAAATCAAAAGTAAAAATACACTGAGAGGTAACAGGTGCAGTGTTTGCAAACTGTTGGTCAGGTTCTATCAATATGACATTGGTACAAGTCTGGGTACATTTTGGTGCAGTATATTCAGATAAGCAAAATAAAAACAGCTCTCTCCCATGGTCAGAACTGAGCCATTTTTTCAGACTGCTAATTTATTGAGTAGCTACTGTCACAGAGACAAGAAAATGTAAATACATCTAAAAATTTTCAAGGATTATAATAAAAATTAAAACACACATTTCCATCCCATCTGCCCCAAATGTTGAGGCTGATGGCTCAGACTCTCAAAATTATTACATACTAAGTACCTAACTCCTTTTCAATCTTATCATTTCCACAAGACTCCCACTGGAGTCAGGTTATTCATATTACTTCCAAGAAGAGAAGTCTCTTCTTAAACTGTAATCTCAAATTCCTTTTTAGACTTATTTTTAGACATTAGGATCAACAAACTTATTTTGTAAACAGCACCAAATTATAGGCCAGACCTTTTCTCCCTCCTCAGAACACAGAAAAGAGAATGGCATATGACAGATCATCCTTTCTCAAATGAGGTTAGCTCCTTCTCCTAGACAAAATATGTATCCAAATCAAAGCCTTTCCATGTCTCAAGTCCATGCTAGGGGAACCAGTGGGGATTAGATAGTGGAGATTAGATTAATTGTGGCAATGCACACAGTTCTCCCTATGATCCCAGAGACTTTCTCCTATCTCAGGTAGACATTCCAGAGTTCAGACAGAGGAAAAAAAATATATCATTGTCAGGGTGACTTAAGCCAAATCGGGATAGAAAAGGAGCTACATCACCCAGTGCTAAAGAGAAAGAATCTTTCAAATTGGTGGCCAGACTCTGTGATCATTTCTGGATCAAAGGGTTTAAGATAGCAAATATTTGCATTATGTAGAATTTGAATGCACTCCGAGGGCCAGAAAATTCCTCAAGCACAAATGTTTTTGCACTAATCGCTTTACATACACCCAAGAAGGTTTGTAACAGGTTCTCTTGATTGCAGGTACATAATAATACAGCCATTTCATTCTTTTATAGGCTCTCTAGAAGCTTGATATTTGGGTGCCCACAGCATCCAAATACATTACATGTACTTTGGAATAAACCTGCAACAAATGCAAATGTAACAAAGGTGTGAATTTCCTTAACACAAGAAAAAGTTTACATTAGTTGATCCAAAACTAATACTGTTTAAAAACTTCATTAATGACCTGGATGAAGGGACAGAGTGCACTCTCAGCAAGCCTGCTGATGATACTAAACTGGGAGGAGTGGCTGACACACCAGAGGGCTGTGCTGCCATTCAGAGGGACCTGGACAGGCTGGAGAGCTGGGCAGAGAGGAACCTCAAGAAGTTCAACAAAGGCAAGTGCAAGGTCCTGCACCTAGACAGGAATAATCCCATGCACCAGTACAGGCTGGGGGTTGACCTGCTGGAAAGCAGCTCTGCACAGAAGGACCTGGGAGTCCTGGTGCAATGTGCCCTTGTGGCAAAGGCCAACAGCATCCTGGGCTGCATTAGGAAGGGCATTGCCAGCGGGTCGAGGGAGGTAATTCTCCCCCTCTCCTCAGCCCTGGTGAGGCCACACCTGGAGTCCTGTGTCCAGTTCTGGGCTCCCCAGTACAAGAGAGACACGGAGCTACTGGGGCAAGGCCCGTGAAGGCTAAAGATGATTAAGGGACTGGAGCATCTCTCATGTGGGGAGAGGCTGAGAGAGCTGGGCTTTTTCAGCCTGGAGAAGAGAAGGCTTAGGCGAGATCTTATCAATGTGTCTAAATACCTGATGAGTGGGTGTAAAGAAGACAGTGCCAGACTCTTCTCAGTGGTACCCAGTGATAGGACAAGAGGCAATAAATTGAAATAGAGAAAATTTCATTTAAACATAAGAAAAAAAATTACTGTGCCAGTGGTCAAACACTAGAGCAGGTTGCCCAGAGAGGTTGTGGAGTCTCCCTACTTGGAGATATTCAAAACATGACTAGACAACTAGAACAGGTTACTCAGAGCTGGGACCCTGCTCTGAGCAAGGAGAGGTTGGACAAGATGATCTCCAGAGCTCCCTTCCAACTGCAACAATTCTGTGATTACAGAACAGGCAACAAATCACCACCACTGCTTAGGAATTTAAGACCAGCTGGACACCCCAAAAGATCCAGAAATGGCAGACTACTTTGGCCCAAGACAGTTGCACTGAGTCTAGCAACACATAGAGCAATAAGTATTTTCAGTTCCTCCTATTAGTTTCTCTTCACCACTGAATCTAGCTTTTGTCTTTTCTAGCCTGAGTCAACCCAAAATGATTCTCAGCTAGGATGTTTTCAATCAGATTCCCCGCCTTGGCAACATATTGGAAAATAAGTAAACTGCACCATTTAGATCTGATGAAAAGGCAATGTCGACCCAAGCATCAGCTGCATGCTGATAGAATGCTACAGGACAGATCACCTCCCCATATCTTTAAATCTACAGGAATATATTTAGATTCCACCTCCCCTCTTCAATTGACATCATGATCCACAGGTGCTTTTGAAGAAATACATTATGAAATCACAATACACTGTTACTGGGAACGGGAAAGCTTGGGGCCACCTTTCTTACATAATGAAAAATACAAAAGGACACCATGAATGTTTCATGATATTTGCTTAATTTACTAACCATAACCAAAACTAAGATTCAGGAATTTTAAGAATCAATAGTGAAGACAGCTCACAATAATTAAAACAAGTAACTAACAAGTCAATGTTTTGCATTTTAGATCCCCATAGAACACTATTCATTAGATAACATTTATCAAAACCCAAGTATTGCCATTTTAGAGTTAAACAATGATTATATTAATAAACAGAAAGTGTATATGAAACAATATAAAACCAGTAAAGGTGAATAGTCAGATCTTCAACTGACATAAACTAGTGCTATTCAATTTACATAAAAGGAGCTGAACACATAAAAGTTCACTCCTGGAAGGCAACTTGCAGATTTGTGTACAAACCATAGAATCAGAAATACATCACCTCAATTCTTTATCCAGATGCTTAGGACAGAGACAAGCAAGCTGTGGCAGTGTCCAGCTTTTTCTCCATCCCTCTGTTGGAGATCACTATCCTCCCCCACAGCAGAGCTAGCAGAATGGGTTGTGTACCTGCACCACAGACATTTCAGTAGGGAGTTAAGTAACATAAGGCTCTTTTTCACAAAGAGACAGTTTACTTTGGGATAGTTCTAATAGTCCCCACCTCCAACTCTTGCCCAATCCTCTTGTAGAAATTCTCATCCCTACTGTGCAGTTGTTTCAGTTTCTCATGAAGCAATTTCTGAATCACTGTAAATTACAGCCTAACTTCTTAAGGAAGTTAAGAAGTTTTACATTAGTTGATCCAAAACTAATACTGTTTAAAAACTTCATTAATGACCTGGATGAAGGGACAGAGTGCACTCTCAGCAAGCCTGCTGATGATACTAAACTGGGAGGAGTGGCTGACACACCAGAGGGCTGTGCTGCCATTCAGAGGGACCTGGACAGGCTGGAGAGCTGGGCAGAGAGGAACCTCAAGAAGTTCAACAAAGGCAAGTGCAAGGTCCTGCACCTAGACAGGAATAATCCCATGCACCAGTACAGGCTGGGGGTTGACCTGCTGGAAAGCAGCTCTGCACAGAAGGACCTGGGAGTCCTGGTGCAATGTGCCCAAGTGGCCTGTCCCCTTTTCCACATTCTGTACACTTCCTTCTTCTGCTGAAGTTTTGCCAGGAGTTCCTTGCTCATCCATGCAGGTCTCTTGCCCGCTTTGCTGGACTTCTTCCTCAGAGGGATGCACTGATCCTGAGCCTGGAGGAAGTGACGCTTGAATATTAACCAGCTCTCCATATTAGTAAATATGTTATGCTTATTAATTTATAGATAAAAGTATAAGTCTATTGCACGTAACAGTTATTAGGAATATTTTCTCAAAATCAACTGCTCTCTAGTTTGTATCATATAGGAAAAGTAGCAAGTCAATTTTCATCTTATCTCAACTTTCTCGTGCTATTCTGCTAATTGCTTAAGACACAAAGAATTACATTGCTATTATTATGTTATTGTTCGTGATCCAATTCATTCTCATCTTTAGTCAGAGCCTGAAGGGAGGAAATCATTATAAATTCTTCTTCACTGATTCTTCATGATCATTCTGTAGCAAGAAGCTGGATTTACTTCCAGAAGCATGAGCCATGGGCTTTCAAACATGCATGGAGCCCTCCTTCAAATATCTAATGGGGCTGTGTTGCCAAAAACTCTATCTTACAGTTTAGATAAGAATCCCAGGGGAAAGAGAAAGGGCAAGAAAAAGATAGCACCTTTTGCTGGAGTAGCTCATGTTTTCTGAAATATCTGGAAATGACAAGCATTTGCAGAGTAAGAGGCCAGCTATATACATTCTTAATTAACTATTAAAGAATTAGGAGGAAAACTGGGGAAAGACCATTTCAAGAAAAGAAAGGCAAGATTTTGGGAGGAAGAGAATAATCAAGTATATTTAAGCAGGAAGCCAAAATAAAAAGACATAACAGAAGTGGGGAAATTATGGATAAGGTAGACGAAAAATGAAAAACAGCATCTTATTGTATAGGAATGAAGACATGAGAAGCTTCAAAATTGGTAGGATGAAATACAGAAGAAACTATGGAGATATCCAAATAGTAATAATCTCTAGTTCTATACAAAGTATCAAAGATATAACCGGTTTCTAAAGTTACAGAATCCTGATATCGTCTGGTGCTAGGAAGGAAGAGCTAAAATAACTTGAAGTATATTTTGACAGCTTATTAGTTTTAAAACATTGCTGGAAATATATAGTTTATCAAAACTGCATATAAAACTATACATAGAGAGAGAAAATTTGTTTTATATAGGGCAGAAAACAACCTGGGCTCCCAGACCCTTCACCACCATTCCCAGAGCTCTGAAGTCCTGTTTGATGGCTTCCAATTTGCCTTTCGTGTCATTAGCATAAATAAGGCATAAACTTCTACTTGCTGCCATTTTCATGGTAAATGATCTTTATGCTTTAATCTTGCATTTATTACTTCATTAGAGGATCAATCTGAAATGAAAAATTGAACTGAAGGAGTGCAGAAGAGGTGGAGGTCAAGGACAGTATAGATGGAGATCTTCAATTGCAGCAGGAAACAAAAAAATAAAATGAGTACTGTAATGATTTGTAAAAATGTTCTCGTTTGCTACTAAATGAAAATTCCCCTTTAAGAAAAAAGAATTATTGGATCACAACAATATTATTAATCAGGACCATAACAAATTGAGAGAAAAAAAATCAGATTTTTTTCAAGTTACTAATGTGTACAGTAGACTTTAACTTCAAAATTCAATAAAAAGTAAAAAAATACATTTGCAGATATTAATTCATGTCACACCTTTGTCAAGAATCTATTTAGTCTAAGCACTTTTCAAATTTAAGAAATACTCATAGACCACTTCAGAAACAAACAAAAGAAAAGATCTACAACTACCACAAGAACATTCCTGTGGTGCATATGTTCTATGAAACACCATAATAATGCCAGTCCTACAGCTGAGACAACTCATGGAATACTGTATTTAATGAAACATTACTCTCACCTCTGCCAAGATCACTTATTGCATGATACAAGTAACTTTGAAATTATTTTAAAATACTCATTACCCATTCAATCTTTTTTCCTTACTGATATATTAATATGAAAATAAAATCCTGTCTCTAATAGTGTCCTGGTACATAATTTTTCCTTAGAATAACAAAATAAAAAAGTTGATGAAAATAATAGGGCAATTAGGTTCCCAAAGATAAAGAGTGTACACTAACTCAGACAGAAAAGGCGGCCCCACCTTGACATGCAACTCCTATACTACTAAAGGAAGAAAATTTTGGTGGAACATTTATTGCCTCAATCTTAGGGGCTATGGTTGGATACTAGTAACATCGAAGAAAGATCTAAATATACATGAAAGAAAGCAAATGGAACAATGTTGTAAATGGCATGGGTCCCATGTCATTTTAACGGAAAGCAAACACAATATTTAATTTGCAACAATTAAAAAAATTCCTTATATATTTGACTCTTCAGCCAATTACTTACCTATCTAAAATATTAATGAAAGAAAGACCTTCTTGGAAATAATGGAATTGATCTAATGTTTGGAAATTTTGAACATCAAAAACAAAGTACACAAAGGAAAATCAACTCCAATGTAATCTATTTAGTCATATTGAGGTTTAAGCACAGTATTTATTTGATAATATTTACACTCACTTTAAAACTAATTTTTAAAAAACTGATTCTTTAGAATACCTTTTAAAAAATCTGATTCAAATTATAGGTTAAAAATACTTTTTTTCCATTGTGTACATTTTGTTGCTCCTTTATCATAAATTCTGTTTGGGTGGAAAAAGGACAAATTTATAAATTCCATTTCCCCCCCCCCCCAGCAAATACAAAGGACTTCATTAAATATGGTCTGGGGAAGATGAGGGGGAGGGGAAGTACTATGTGTTTTATCCACATACAAACTTCAGATGAATAATGTTAACAAAGAGATCCAAACTCAATCACTCTCTCCCCCGACAGAGAGACTAGAGTTTCCCATTCTGATTTTCTTCATTAAACTGTAAGGTTTTGCTTTTAAAACCCCAACGCAAAACTTCCGGGATTGCTGGGGAATGTACAGGCCTCGACTTGATGTCTGTAACACATCCCAGTACCTCCATCCACAAACACACAAGCGACATGTAAGCACATTTAGCAGATCCATATTTTCCTCTCCTGCCTTCCTAGGAAGTTTTAGCCCCGATCGATAGGATCTAAAAATCCATTTTGAAAGAGCCAGTCCTGCTGTCTCCTCTCACTCTACAAAGCAATGGCTGCACAGCTTTTCCTGGTGAGTTACCTTGATGAAGTGACACCCAAACGTGAGATCTATGCATGCACGAGATCGGTTAAGACCCAGATGCATAGACTGGAAGCATGTTTCATGGCAAAACTAGGCCTGTCTCTCCTCCCCCCTCCCCCGTCATCATGTCACACCAATCAAATACTTCCGTGTATGTGTGAGTCTGTATTTGGCTGCTATGGCTTCCTGATACTCTGCTGCTGATTGCATACACAGAGGGAAGGGGGGAAAAAACCCCCCCCAGCCACCACAAAACCTTGCCTCTTCCTCTCTCCAAGCAGAGAAAGACCCCAACTGCCCTCCTTCTCCAGGCTCGCTCAGCACACAGCATCCAGTAACAAACTGGAACACTAGCTGAAAGACTCATTTTCTACTTACCTCCTCTTAATCACCGAGAGGAGGAGGAAAAACAACAACTTTTTTTGTGCAAAGAACAATAACAAAATCCCTCTCCCGATGGGGTGATGAGAATCACCTCTTTACAAACAACTTGCATTTACAATAACAGAAGCGGGTATGTACTCCCCCCCCCCAAAAGGGCCGATTTTCCGTGCATACCGGAAACGCGATTTGTTTGGAAGGCGATTATAAAATTGTAAGCGCATGTTTTATGCCACTCTTTGTTCCTCAGGCTACTGCAAGGCCGGGGGGGGGGGGGGGGGGGGTTGCTTTTTCGGAGAGAGAAAAGAGAAGGAGAGAAGCTATTTTAGGAAGTGAATCACGACATCTTTACAACAAGAATGACTTGTCTGTGCAATTAAAAACATAGATTGAACGATACTAAACTGAAAGGCAACAGGAGCTGCAGCCTTGCTTAGTGAAGCAAGCTCCTGCTCCCCAAACATACTCCCGTGTGTGTGTACGTTTGGGGCAAACAGAGAGATTACCCGGATCACAGCCCCCTTGGCTTTACTGGTTAATGCTGCTATTCTAACAAATAATACCGCTCCCCCCACACACCTGTTTTCCTCCTCTTTCCACTCCACTTCTCTTTCCTCGGCCACATCTACCTAAATATTTGCAATGGAAGACAACAATCCTATTACAAAACACTAACGAACTGCAATGTTTGTCTTCCCCCCTTTCCTAAAACAGAACACACTGAACTTCAACATGCAACATTCAGCTGCCCTAGCCACATGCAATAAAACTAACCCTTCTGCTCGAAAGAGGGGAGGATTATAATCTCCCTCCCAGCACCCCCTGTTTATAGCTACTAAAATACAGCTCGATCAATCAATGCGGAAAAAGAAAAGGAGACGAGCTATCAACCTCCCAGCCCCATCACAACCGCTGAGTTGCTCCTGAAGGGGCTGTTACTTCTGGAATCTATTTCTGTCTCCACTGCTTTGCCTGGAGCTAAACGCTCTCTTCAGCCGCAGTACCAAAGGACTAGAAAAGCGGCTGATTACTGTTATCTTAATTTTTCAGTCGCTTTCTTTAAAAATTACATATACGCAAACACACGCAGACAGATAGATAGATATAGATACACACAACATTCCCTGCTTTCTCCTCCTTCTCTCTGTTGGTGCAGCTGACACAAATCAGGAACCGGAGTTCTTTTTTTTTTTCTTATTAGAAATTTGCATTATGATTATTCCAAAAATATTGGATCGTGTTTTTTTCTCTTCACTCCCTGATAAACATAAATGTTTTTGGAGCAATGGAGGTTGGAGAAGGTGGGGAGGAAAAGAAGGAGGTCGCATAATAATCCTTGGAACCAGCAGGGGTGTTTTTTTAAGGAGTGAAAGTGGGCATGGTGCGTGGTTGCGTAATCAATAATAATAAATTATTTCAAAAAGAGATTATAATGGCAAAAGTCGAGAGTGTGCAAGGAAAGGGAGGGGACAGAATTGTAAATTATATTTACCTTGCTTGAGAGGAATGTTGTGTTGAATGGCTTCCCTCTCTGTGAGTCACCCAGAGTACAAAACCAGAGAGCGATTAGATTATGACTTCATTGATGACAGGCATTCCTTCTTCCTGCCTCATCCCACCGCTTCCCCAACCCGATACCATCGTTCAGGAAGAGAGTTCTCCCATTGGTTCACCTCGAGGAGAGCACCCGCCTCCTACACAGAAAGGGCGGTCCAATGGACGCTCATTAACTGCTGTGCAGCCCGGAAGGGGGGGAGGGGGTATGTATGTATGTAAAAAATAAAAGTTGTGCTATTACTGCTAAAATGTGGCAGGAGTAGGTGTAAATATGCATGGTTAGCAGCCTCTCTTAGGAAGCGTAGGCTGCTGCTTGAGGTTTTTTTCCACGTTTTCTCCCTTTCTGCTTGCGCGCTTTTAGGGAAGAGAAAAGCTAGAGGTATCTCAGTTGAGGAAGAGAGGGGAAGGACTATAGTAATAATAGTAGCTGGGGGATAGGTGGAAAAAGGTGCTGAAATTTAAATATGTCTCTGCTAGTAGAAGTCCCTAGGAAACTAGGGGACAGGGGAGGATGGGGAGGAATGAGGCTGAGGTTGAAAGTTGTTGTATCTAATGATTAGGTGGGGGGGGGGTCTTGGATTTTTTTTTCTTTCCTCTTAAAAAGGAATCGAGGGGGGTTAAGAATGACAAAACTTTTTGTCCCCCTCCGCTTTTGGGGGAGGGGGGGAAGAGGCTGTAGAAAACATCTCAGCTAAATCTGTCTGTCGAGATCACCAGTCAACTGTCGAATGTCTGTTAATGAAGACCAGGAGTAATAGGCTATTATTAACTAAATGTTCTTCTAGAAAACCTGACTCTGTCCTCGGTCTGGAGGTGGTTATTAGAGTAACCGCTAGATGTCATATTGCATGCAAATAGATGGCCACTGTGTTAAGAGAGGAGTTCAGAGAATTTTTTTTTTTTTTTAAACAGCAAAAAGTGCTCACGACCAAAAATAAATTTATGCTGTCCTAAAACAACCCAAAGGAGGCTAAACCAGAGCAGCATGTGGCACTCATGCTATTTAAAAGTCTGGCCTGTTCATGCAGTCGCAAGGGCTAAAATGCAGAGGAGAAGGCTGAGCTAGCACACACTAATAGACCACGCCAGTCACCTGCTAAACTAACAGGCCTACTAATTTGAACTCTTCTGAACCCTGAAAATAGTGTTATTGTTAAAATTAAAAACAAAGTGTTTACACTGTTTTCAGAATGACTAATTCATTCCCTATTACAAAATAAAGAATAGAACCTACTGTATATTATTACATTTTGGTGTCTGGCTGTCCTGTTTTGGGGATGCTTTCCCCCCCCCCCCCCGCACTGCTTCGATCT